CAAGAAACAGCTGTATTTCGTATAGCCACCCTGTAGACCAGTGAGTATAGCGACGACATTCAAGTCACAACATATCTTCCAGTTGCAAGAACTGTAGTCAATCAGTTTGAGTAACTCTTTCATTGTCTCGTATGTTTCTTTCACTTTTGTGGAATGGCCGATGGGAATGGAAGGTTCCTTATTACCTTTATGAAGTAAAACAGCTTTCACACTATATTTGCTACCATCAATAAATATACGCCATTCGTCCGAGTTATGATTTTCTCCAAATGCGGCAAACATCGCGTTAACATTGTTGCAGTAGCAAAAGTCATCTGTTTTTGAGAAATATTGTTCGAATTGTTTGCTACGATTTCTGAAATAAGTTACTTTTGTCTCTGATTCCAAATACCCACGTTCTTGTAAGCGTGATGCGAGTAATTCAGATTTTTCTTTTGATAAGTTGAAATCACGACACAGATCATTTAGGGCCAATTGATTCATCAGGTTCGGTTTTTGACTCGCTGATCCTGAATAAACGCTGGGATTTGAATCCGAAAATACAGTTCCTTGCGAACTAATTTCTTCTTCTTTCAGTGCTGGTGGTTCGCGTTTTGGGTACACAGAAGAATGTGGTGCAGTTGTTATCACTGATGATACATTGGGATAAACAGCTTTGCAATTGTTTGGAGTCCAATGTTTATCCGGATTCTTGGCTTGAATTCCAAAATATTGTTCATAAGCAGTTAAAATGTTTGTGGTTAGTTTTTTCCGAGCACTTTGTTTGAATATGTACAAACTAGGGATGTTGCGGCTGTGGAATTTTAGACATCCGCGGATGCGAATGCGGATGCGAATATCTAACAACTAACATCCGCGGATGCGAATGCGAATGCGGATGTCAAGTATTTTTAAAAAACAATTAGAATCTAGCATACTGGCGAGATCGTTGTTTAAACAGCGCTTACAAGCCAAACCAGATAAATATGTCATGTTGTTTCAAAATTTGGAGAACCTGTAACTTTATCAGCACTTTTCGATTTTAGTTTTTGTAATTCATTTTTAATACTTTCTTCTGCGACTGCTTTGAAAAATGTGTGCTTATAGCGAGCTAAATAGGCGGATATGGAAAATAGATTATTATTTTTGAACAAAATTCTGTTTTCAAAGTCATGGCTGGCAGCCGATTCGGATCAGAATATTGTTATTTTTTTTTTTAAAGCTCCCCGTTTTTTATAAGCGTTTGAATAACAGATAGTTACGTAATTCTTATCTAATTAAAGGTCAGACCTATAACTTTTTAATTATTTGAGCATCGAATCTCTTTATAGCTAGACGTTGATCATTTCTACTGGAAATCCCTATTGAAGGAGCTTACTCATTGACTTTAAATAGCAAAGAAGGGACAGTTTTACCATAGAAGTTTTTAGCCAAGGATCCAATGTACATATATACCTATGAAAAAAATATTATCCAACAAGTAAACAAAACTACTGTTTTTAAAATTTTTGCTAAAAATAAATTCCCCAAAGAGCCCCATTTGAAATTATTCGAACGAATATATGTAATAGGTGGCATACGCGGTACGTCTGACTCGCGAGTCATTTGTGTACGTGTTGACTCGCCTTCGACTGCACACTGTTGAATCATTCAGAGTCATGCCGGAAGTCATCTTGGTGTAACTAACACATATTTATTTTCACAAACACATCCAAACAGACTCACGAGTCAGACGCACCGTGTATTCCGCCTATAACATCCAAAGCAAATCACGAAAATTGTGTTAAGAATTACAGTGCACACTTGCTTCTTTTGTGTCTAGTAGTTTTTTTTTTTAATATTTGTCCAAAAAAATCATAATAAAGAAAGAAGCCAAAGCAGGTATTTAAAGCACAGAAAAAAAATTATTAAAAGGACTATGTTCTCTTTGACGTACGTCAAAGGTCAAGTAGAAGTGGGAACTTTTATGGCTTCCCATTGATAGCGCGGTTATATAGCTTAAGAAATAATATTTTAAAGACATTTTTATCAAAGTTGATAAATATGACATTTGACCAGTTTTGTTACATAAATACTCCTACGACATAGGGAAAAATATTGGCTACAATATGTAATTTTATTTTGCCATATATACGTTTTATTGGTCCCTTTGCAAAATATTCGCATTCGCAAAAGCTCCGCATTGATTATTGCGAATGCGAAAGCGAATGCGAATGTTAAAATTAATGCGGAAGCTCCGCGGTTGCGAATGCGAATGCGAATATTCGCTACAACCCTGGTACAAACCACAAATAAAGCAAAACTTATCCTTTGAGTGATTGCACATTTTGGGCTTTTTCCTTAGAGCAAAAACGTCATTCTAAAATACGAGGGAACACAAAAGGAACAACTGTCCAACAAAAGTACGAAACGAAATCCGATGACGTTTGTCAACTACCTAACGGGGCAGGAAAATATAGCGGAAGTTCAATGTCGCTCAAGCAGTAACGCATTTTACCGACTGGAGATATTTCTGTTCCCCCCTACATCGTTTACTTTGATTCAGCATATAAATTAACACAAAATAGACTTTTTTTTTGTGTTTTTTACCATTTTGAAAACATTCCGTGGATATGGATTCAACCCCAGCCCTGCTTCATAATTTATTTCTGTGTAGGTGTAAAAAAAGGGAAATTTGAATGTCAGAAGCTGAATAGGCATCCTTATACAAAATACGTTATAACTTCAACATTTTTCGTCCGATTTAGACAATATTTAGCTTGACTTGTTTGTTATAAAATTATTTTGAACTAAAAATTTCATGTATCGGACAAAAAATTTTTTAATCAATAGTAAAACGTCGATAAATTTCAATAATTTCCAAAAAAAGCTCAAATAATGACCTTTTTTAACTTTGAACGGCTGCTGTGGAAGTAATAATCACTAGATTACTAATAACGACATATTGCTGTAAAGAGGAGGCCTGTACCTTTCTAAACATGTATATCATTGCTTCATAACATCAACTCCCTGTTGTTGTTGTAGCAGCATACAAATTCCCCAAAGACTTTTTGGGGAGTGTTGCTGGAGTGACAGTCCTTGGCCAGATATAAATCTGGGTCGTTCCGGTTACGTAGACCCGACTGTCGTGGGAACGGACATTTCGGTGATTCGGAGATTTCGGTGAAAAACTGAAATAAGACACGAAAAACACGTTTTTTGCGGAAATCGCAAAAACGCTTCTTGAGAAAAATAAATGAGTGTCATTTTCGTTTTCAGCGACCCCAAATTGTGCTAGAAAGCACTTTTTTATCGAGGTACTCGTTTGAAACTGAAAATTTGTAAACTAGTGTAATTTATTGCTTGAGTGAAACAATGGTGGTACACTTGTTTAATTATAAACTCTAAGTAAGCCGTAAAATGCGAAGATTAAAAGTAGGCTATGAAAAATAAAATTAGTTTGACAAATTAGTTTTTTTCATATTGATACAACAAGGATGTTGGAAATTAGTGAGGTGAAAATAGTGTAACTACCGACGAATCGCTGCATTTTAAAGATATGATAATATAATATTAAAATTGTTGCTTGGAAATGTAATATTCATTATTAAATTTTCATAAATTCGTACAATATGTCGACGCCTCCAAACCATACTATCCTAAGTCTGACTATGTCCAAGGTGACTTGGCATGGTATGACTTGGAGATGTCGATATGTATTAAATAAATGACAATTTTGATCAAGTAATACATAAATCCATAAGCGGACATCTCAAGTAGCCGGACAAAAGCATTGCGACGGTGAGTGTCCGATTATGAGGAATTTCACTGTATTTGGAGTTTGAAAATGTCGATGTACTTAATTTTCTGAAATTGTTTAAGATACATACATACATAGATATGTACATACCCAGCAAACATTTGGAGTCATAACTGAGCCTTTAAGGAGTCTTTAAGAGTCCCATTTCGGAGACTTTACGCTCATAACGAGCTCATTTAAGAGGCTGATATGAGGGTGTTTCCCTTCCTCCGAAGGTCGACATATATGAGCTTAAAATCATACATCAAATGAGCCTCAATATGAGTCATATTGGACTCTTATTAGCCTCATATACGGCTCATTTTGGACTCTTTTTAAAACAATTTTTGGCCTCATATATGAATCATTTCAGACTATTTTTGAGGCTCTTATCGGCCTCATAAATTACTACATTCGGACTCTTATTTTAGGTTGTTCTTTGAGTCTTATTGAACGCACTATATTTGCAAAGGCATTCAGCAAAAATTTCTTCCAAATAACATACATACATACTTACGTGCATATACACATTCCAACATGCATTTAACAGCAACAGCTGCAGCTAAATTTTATTCATTTTTTGTTTTCTAATTATTTTCAATTTCTGTATAAACAAGTTTAGATATAAATTTCGAACCTTTATTATTTTATATTGGCACAAAATGCTGGATCATATATGACTCCTAAATGATTCATATAAGAGTCACACATTTTTTGTTTTTAAAGCTCATATTTCTTACCCTTCTAGGACTCCTTTTGGGCACATATTGTACATATCTAAAAAAAGGCTACCAGAAGATTTTCGTAAAGACATTCGTTTGATTTTCAAACATATGATTAAAGCAATAAGAGCTCGTGCTTTGATGCGGAAGCTGATAATGCTATCATGGTTGAAAAATCAATAGAAGAATACATGCATACTTGAATACAACTCATATGTACACATACATATACAAATTTTATGCAATGTTTTGATTGCTAAGGAAAAGATTAATAGGAATCGTGCACTATTTGTATACAGTATTTTCATGTAGTGTTCAAAGAAAAGTTCAAAAACCTACGCATTTTTACATATGTAAATAGTTAAGAATTATGTATGTTATGTACATACAAATGAAGACTTTTATAAAAATCGTTCCTACACTGATAACATAACACTGTCGATGCTTGCCAAAGTTTTCGAAAGTACGCTCAATACTCGAATAAACGGAACTTTATTTCTATTCGCCGTTAACTTACGTACCAATTTACTATTATTGTCTCTCATTTAGAGAATATTCTACAATGGTATGATTTTTAAATTAAAATTATTAAACTTTATGAAATGCGAAGGCGATATCCGACGGTGTTTATGTGTAAAAAGAATTTGACAGGTTGAAAAGCGAAATCTATTTTTTTCTTACTTATACCTAGTAACTTTCTTCTTGCCATGCGCGAAACATATACCAGTATCTATTTTACACTCAAAAAATTTCTCTTACAATTTTCCTATTATAACAGTAATCAGCATTCGGCCTAAAGTACGACTAACCAGGGATGAGAAGTTTATATTTGGGATTGCACCTAATATCACAAAATAAATGTGCCTACATAGGTGAGATTCTTTGGCGTACGGTTCAAATCGCAGCTCACGACGTCCCGGTATTTATATCTACGTATCCTCTGGGTAGCGACCAAACACCCGTTTGGAAATGAAATGTCACGTGCGCTGGGTTTGGGCCCCGCCACGTTAAAACCCCGCCCAATGAAACAAAAAATGCGCCTCGGATGAGACTCCCTCATTTTAATACAAACCATATTTGGGGGTAGTGCACTAAATTTTGAAGAAATTTTTGGAAGAAATTATATTTTTCACTATTTATCGCCAGCTTAGTGATAGTGAAATTTTCCGGCACTACCACTAAAAGCTTTAGTGATAATTGTATTTTGTTTCACTAAATTTAGTGGTAGTGAATAAATCCGCGCTACACTCAAATAGTGCAATATTGAAACAGTCACTACATATCGTCGGTCCCTACGAAGAGTATCACATTTCACTATTCGCGTGGAAGACTAGCACATTTCACTATTCGCGTGGAAGACTAGCACATTACACTATTAGCGTGGAAGACTAGCACATTTCATTATTCGTGTCTAAAAGTAGCACATTTCAGATTTTTGCGTGGAAGACTAGCATATTTCAGATTTTTGCGTGGAAGAGTAGCACATTTCAGATTTTTGCGTGGAAGACTAGCACATTTCAGATTTTCGCGTGGAATAGTACCACATTTCACTATTTGCGTGGAAGAGTAGCACATTTAGGGTTTAAACTAAATCATAAAAGCATAATTTATATATAAATTCAAGTGCTTATTTTATATTTCTATAATTCTATTATAAAATTCGTGAAATTCAGACGGTATATAGCGTTTAGTGATCATTTGCTGGAGATCATCCACTTTTCTTTTTTTTAAAGGCATTTTTTTTTTTTTTTTTTTATTGTTTTATAGTTAACCATTGAAATTTTGTTTTCAGTATGTTCAATTTCAACTAAAATAAAGTTCATTTAAAAAAATCATGTAAACCCACGCTTAAAATATTGTAGAAATCTAAAAAAAATCAACTAATTTTCATTCAAATTTCAAATTTATTTTCTCAGAAGTGTTACAATTTTTTTGAGTATGAAGCTTTATAGCCGATTCAATTTTAGTGTGATAATGTGAAAGTTTCAAGAGCCTTAAAACCTTTGATTCTTTTTGTCGCATTCGCTACCATATAACGAATAAACACAATTTATTTTTATATTGAAGAAAACCGCAACAACGGAAATTTTTAGCCACTTGAAACTTGCACATTATTGCAATAAAATTGAAAGGGATTTTAATCTATATACTCAAAAAATTCTGAGAAAATAATTTTACCATTTGGATGAACATTTTTAGATTTTTTTAGTTTTCTACAAAGTTTTAAATTTGGATTTGTATGGACTTCTTCAGAGAATGAACTTTATTTTAATGAAAATTCTTAAAAATAAATAAATGAACATAAGTGGAAAACAATATCACTTTGAAATGAGGCGCTCTTGATATGACTGCATGTACATTAGGGTGGTCCAAAACAGTAAAGTCGGAATTGTAATGCTCTAGCCCCCTAGGATTGTTCTATATAGAAAAAAGTGTACCCCTATTTTTTTAATTTAAAATCAAAAAATATTTAGAGGTCGCTCAAAGCGATCAAAGTTTTCCATGTATTTTTATATGGGGAAAAACAACGTTTCGTAGAAATGGTATAGAATTCTTGAAAATCAATATTTTTCGATCGGAAAACTCTGGTTCTCTTCAGGAGACTTACAATAATAATACCCAATTATTTATTTAACCATTATTTAATACTAACGATTTTTTATTTGTCCCCCATTGCATTTTTCGGGGTTTTTGTGGGTTTTTGGTGGACCTACAAATTATAGTTGTGATGAAAAAATGGTTAAATAAACAATTGGGTACTATTATTGCGAATCCTGCAGATGAAAAGAGTTTTCCGATAGAAAAATATTAGTTTTTTTGAATTCCAAACGATTTCTACCAAAAGTTTTTTTCCCCGTGTAAAATACATGGAAAACTTTGGGCGCTTTGAGCGACCTCTAAATATTTTTTGTTTTCACAATAAACAAATAGACTTTACTTTTTCACATGCATTTTTGGACCACCCTAATTTGCATATATGTTTCTCGTATTTATGTTTATGTTTATGTTTATTCAGTCAATGGAAATACACATCCTTACAGGCTAATAATATTTAAATTTAATATACTATATAAAAAATAATAATATCTAAATATAATAAATAGTCTATATATATAAAAATTAAGTGTGTTACGTATGACCGCGATGCCTGACCAAACGGCTGAACCGATTTCAATTCTGTAAAAAGTGTTTTTTGGACCTTCTGTGTGGAAGGTTTTTCGATTTAAAAAAATTTGAAATTTTTTGTTGTTGTTGCCGAAATATGAAGAATGCTGAGACGTCAAGATTTCACAATTTCACAGAGTTTTCTGTACATTAAATGTCACTAAACTACTAAACGGCTGGACCGATTTGGTTCATATTTGGAACATATATCAGTACCACGAAAAGAAATATTTCTACCAAAAATTTGCTCGCTAGGTGGCGCTGGGGTCAGGATATTCCTAAAAATTGCGTTTACTTGCCGATTTGGCTCATATTTAGAATACAATTTAGCCAATTGAAAAGAAATATTTGCACTTATAATTTACACCATAGGTGGCCCTATGGCCGAGATATCCCTAAACATTATTTTTCGCTAAGAGAAGGATAGATTATCTACTATATATTTGTGGAAGTATGTAGTATGTAGGTATGTGCCAGGTTGCAGCCTAAACGGATGGACAGAATCGAATGAAATTTTGGCAGAGTATTGCCATGACTCCTGGGCTTATAATAGGAAGAAAAAATTGGGATTCGATAAGGGGGCGTGGCACCTCCCATAGCCGTGAAATTTTTATCAGCAATAACTTCGGAACCATAAGCCCCACGAACTTGAAACTCGGTATACAGGCATAGCTATGGTAGGTGCATATAGTAGGCTATAAATAAATGAGTTCGTAAAAGGGGGCGTGGCACATCCCATAGGCGTGACAATTTTTAACAGCTACAACTTCAAAACCATAAGCCCCACGAACTTCAAACTTGGTATGCAGGCACCGCTATGGTAGGTGCTTATAGTAAGGTGTATATAAGTGAGTTTGTAAAAGGGGGCGTGGCGCATCCCATAGGCGTGAAATTTTTTATCAGCTATAAATTCGAAAGCATAAGTCACATGAACTTTAAATTTGGTATGCAGACATATCTATGGTAGAAGTTTATAGTAAGGCATATATAAATGGATTTGTAAAACGGGGGTGTGTCACATCCCATAGGCGTGGAAATTTTAACCAGCTATAAATTGGGAACCATAAGTCACATGAACCTGAAATTTGGTATGCAGACATATATATGGGAGGTGTTAAGAATAAAGTATATATAAATGTGTTTGTAAAACTGGGATAAATATGTATTCAACTATTAGACCACTCTGATAGTAAAAACTGGGTTTTTTTTTTGAAACCTTAAAGTCTTTAGACCATTTTGAAATGGAAGGATTAAATCATTTTATTGATCCGGCGATGCTCCGAAACGAAACATGCGCATGTATAATGAATAAAACTACTTCTGAAATAAGCATTCTACCGGAAAAGTGCAGCTATACTAAAAGAGCTAAGCGAATAGGAAGCTAAACGGAATCTACCATAGTAGACTAATCTAAATTTAAAAATTCTATCGTTATCTTAATCCACCTTATATTAGTAATGGAACAAGATCAATATATAGTAGTTGAAGAAAATAGTTTTCCTCCTCTAATTTGTGCTGAACTGAATATTTGTATTACTGTTATATATTTTGATTTGTTTACCCCGAACGACGTCGGGTGCTCTGCTAGTAAAAATATAAAAATTCATGGATTTAATTGCATATGCGATATAAAACTTCTTTCAGACGTTCTCTTGGTAATGTAATATCCGCCAAGTTATGCCTAGTTAACACTTAATAATGCCATAGTTAGTTCGATGCCTATTAACAAAAAATAATTCCTTGTGTCGCAGTTGTTTTACAGGAGCATTTAAAGTAATGAATTCTAGCAGTTGAGATGAGTTTATTTGACCACTTATAATGTCGGCTATAAAAATTAGAGACGAGACTTTCCGTCTAGATTCCAGAGAGCTCAAGTCAATTAAAAGACAACGGGCTTTATATGATGGCACTGGCTCAGAGAAGTGCAGAGAGTGCAAGGCAAATCTTATAAACTTTTTTTGTATTCTCTCTAAACGAGAAATTAAAGAAACCTGAAAAGGACTCCATATTAGAGAAGCATATTCTAGTCTAGAGCGGACAAAAGTTGTGTAAAGTAATTTCAACGTATATGGGTCTACGAAGTCCTTACTATTGCGTTTCAGAAAGGCTAAAAGTGAATATGCTTTAGATATGATGTAATTTAAGTGCGCTTTAAAAGTAAAACGTGCATTAAATACGACCCCTAAGTCAAGAGCTTCAGTTTTAGTGGATAACACTCCAATTCCAAGGCTGAATGATGAAGGTAAGGGAGCTTATAAATAGATTCCCTTAGGAAGACGCGAATATGCGTCAAAACAAGTAGGAGGAAAATAAACGTTTATTCTATTTGTAATAAAATACCGAAGAGCTCCATACACAACATTAAACTCTCAGCTTAGTCGAGGAGAAATAATTATAACATACATGTATGTTTGATTTTTTACGGCTGCTAGTACCACTTTATATGAATTCGCTACTCTTCTACGCGAGAATC